CTTGGCAGGTGATAGTATATATATATATATATATATATATTGGACAAGTAAAGTAAAGGCTTACATTTTTATATAATTATATTTCAACCCATTACGATTTCTGGCTTTTTTGTATATCCTGTATAGATATAATTTTAAAACTGCTTTAACATTAAGTGCAAACTTTAAATTTCTGAAATCATTTGAAAATATTTCATTGCAGGATATTTTTTATTGAATGATAGTACAAATAAACTTTAAAAAATTCCAATCAAATATAAATAACCTTGTATTTTTTGGAGTACCACGATAACGTCTTGATGAAAAGAATTTTGGGGGTTTTTCTTGTGGAACGCCACCATCACTTTCACTGGAACCCCGTCGTGACCTTGGATTTTTCTTAAATGGATTAAATCCAATGGTGGGTTCAAAATAATTCAGTTCTCCTTGTCCCAATAAGCTTCTCTCACCAAGATTACAGAAGGCACATACTTTTCCAGGCCTAAATTGAAATAAACCAGTTTAAAACAATCAACAAAGAGTCCAGCAAATTCAGAAACAAACAAGTGCATTTTCATAACTTTATAAGAATAAAAACAATTCATACTGTTAGTTAACATAAAACTGTAATGTTCCAAATAGTAACAAACTGAAAAACCAGTAAGTCATATTCTGAGTTCAGTTCAAATACAATCAGATAAAATATTATGATAACTAAATGCATCCATATCCTATATGATGAAAATTATTACCATCTTTCTTGAAAAACTTCTTGAACTCTCTCCCCCTGAGAAGAACTACAAGGAAATGGCATGGACGACTCTGGAGATGCAACACCTATATTAATAAATTTTAACGGATAAGTTTCCATACAATATTAGTATGTAATTTTGTTACAAGCAACGTACACATTGTACAATAAATCTAACTAATTATTCATTCATCAATAATGTACAGAAGTGAAAAAGATAGAGCCGCACTTTTCATCAACAGCATCTAAGAAATTGCTTTTATATATCCCACATTTATAAGATGGTGAAGGGACTGATGTAAATAAAGAAAATTATAAAGATGAGCTCCTTTCTAAGAGTATAGCAACAGTAAGAGAAAATTCAGAAAGTGTTTCACCCACTAATAGGGGGAGGAGCATCACTCAGTGGAAGACTGCATTCATCTTCTACAGAGTACAGAAAAGGGTACAAAAGATATTGCAAAAAGTACCTCTTGAGTGGGGTTAAAACATCACATAGGTTGATGAAATGTAATGATTATTTAACTGGCCTGGATATCTCAGAGGGTTGGTACAGCATGAATGTAGTGTGGCTTGGGTAAACAGTCAAGCCATACAGTAATCGAGACATATTTATAGGAAATACCAGAATAAGGAACACTATAAACCAAAACTTGCGTCCTGTCTACAACACTTTTTTGGTCTAGCAGTCACTTTATCATGTCACATACTTTTTGTTCTGTGACTAGCTTAAAACTAATATGTACAGAATAATATTATACTAATGTACCTGTTTGCATTACTGCATCCTGTTTAACATCAACTATTTTTGAAGGCTCTTTTGATGTTTCAAAGCTTATCAACTGAGGAGAAATATGACTAGCAGTCAAACCATCCGAGGTAAAAGTATCTATTTCACCAGCAAATTCATCTCCTAGCACAGATCCTGGTAGAGACAGCTGTGATGGAAGAGATGAACTGTGTGGAATTCCAAATAAACTACCTGGTCCTGGTTTTCTGCTGTGCATCCTAGGTCGACCAGGAAATCTGAGTGCGTATATAAAAATTTGGTTCATTAAATAGAACATTCAGAATTTGATATTTCACTACAAACATTTTAAAGACCTTAAATGGACTTATCCTCTATAATCTAATCTAACAGTAAATCTCAGAACAAAACAAAAAGACTATATGAAATAAAAATAAAAACTAGATTTTTTAAAAACAAGGGAAAATAATAATTTCAAAGTTACTCTTTACAAATTTTTGGGTAGCATACATTTTTTTCCGTTGAGTTGGACAACTTCCATCTTTACGAGGTCTGCCTGGTCCTCTTCTGAATGGAGCCATCCGTTGCAATGTCAAACGAGACTGGTTTGAACAGAAGGACTGAGAAGTCAAACGACTAATATCTTCTTCCGAGGCTTCAACCCCTGATGCATAAGAACTCAGATCAAGACATCCTTCTGTACTAAAACCCAACTGTCCCCCTTCAGAAACTAAATCTGGTTCACCAGGTGACTGGTCCTCACATTGCCCAGTCACGTGTGATTCCTGAGTTGAACTAACTGATAAATCCAAGACTGTTGGGTTTGAAGGGCTGTTGCTTGAAGATTTTGGAACTGACACTGGTACATTGTTATCTTCTTTATTCTTTAATTCTTGGTCTTTCCTACACACTGAAGCTACAGGTTCACTTTGGCTTGAAACTAATTCTAATGCTTCAGTTTCCAACACATCTTCAACTTGACCTTTACAGACTTCATTTTTAACAAAACAACCTCCTTCTTCTTTATTTCTCTCCATTCTATTTCTTCATTGAAGCAATTTATAAGACAGGAATGGACTGATATATATCAACAGAAGACCTGTGGTAAGAGAGAAATAAACACTACCTATCACAATGTTTGTGTACATTTCTGTTTTAAATACAGACTAATATGTTAAGGATATAACATGGATATTTATATCAAAATCTACACAATTTTCTAAATAATACAATTATAATACTCATAGAGGCACTTCTTTATTCCTTTTAAATGTCAGATTTCAAATCTACTATTTTTATGTTTTGGAAGTGCTTTTTCTAAGGTTCTGCTGAAAATGATGAACTAAACTTATCCTATAACTATCAACAGCAAAAATATTAAATCTTAAATGTGATAAGAAATAAATAATAAGATAAACAATTTTTTTTGTTTGCACAAAACATGCACAGATTACATATTCAGGTGGTTGCTGACAGACCATAATCAACATTCTCAAGTGCAAACTGTGACCAAAAGTCACATGAAGTCAAATCTGAGCACATGAAATAGTTTATTATTCACCACTGGAAAACTTTTACAGTCTCATAATCTAAAACTAGTAAATTTCCACCAATTACCTAAGAATAAAACATTAATCACCAATTTTATTCTTTAAAGTAACAAAAATAACAATGCTAAGCTATTATTACTGATTTTATCTCATAGAAAAAAAGAAACAATCTAAACTCACATATACATCAATTTAGTTGGGGGACAGATTACAAAATTCTAAGTGTACTGTTACTGAAATAAATGGAAAAATGACTTGATCTTGCAATAACTTGCAAATCAAGAAGGCTTTGTTTTTTGTGACATTATACCATTTTACAGCATATGCAGTACACAATAAAAAAAATGTCTTACAACAGCAAGCATTACTTGAAAACAATACAAAAGAAAGACAAAAAAAAGTTTTACACTTTTTCCAGATTTGGGCTTCAATCAATTATACATATGATAAAAAGAAGTTTGAAAAATATTCTACAAAAATTTAAAAGGTACGTACATACTTCCATTTCTTAATTTTAAACATTTCATTGCACTGTATGTTGATGATGATATCTAGAGTTAATGATATAATAGAGAAGATGGAAAACAAAATATAAACATTTACCTAAAAAACTTTTGATATTCATTTAGGAGGTTCTAGAGATTATGCAAAAGAAATGTGAAAACTGAAAGATAAGAAATGGTATTTTTATACTCAAAATAAAAATCACATTCAGTGTGAACTATACAGAGTCTGAATGCAAATAACTACATTAAATAATAATGGTTGGAGATGGCTTGAATGGGTAATGAAGAAAAACTTTAATATAATTGTAGAAATTTTTGCTACTCTGCAGAAACGTGTAATGTATCACAAGTGCTACTATAATAACCATCATATATTTAATAACAGACTTACGAAAGATTAGATTTTATTATTTATCAGTGAAGGAAAGGGATACTGTTTACAAGTTTCATGCCATCACCCAATTGTAAGTCTTTCATAACCTATACTATCCTATTGACTAGATCTAGGCAATCAACTCGATTAACCAATAATCTATGCGTATCGATCACATCAAATACTGTAAAATCATCATAATTACAAACATAAAAAAGCTACATAGTGGGCTATCTGTGCTCTCCCCACCGCGGGTATCAAATCCCCATTTGTAGGGTTTTATTTATTGGCAGTCTCATGTAAGAATAAAGGATTTTTTTGGTTGCTTCATTTTTATTATTCATAGCTATCTCATGAAAATAATCAACTAGTCAATCACACTTATTGCCCAGAGCTACTGTTGACCACCCCACCTAATAATCTTTAAAATATAACAAGATTTCTTATCCATTTTTTCTCAAGAGAAAATAAGATATCTTAACCTATTCTTGTGATAATTTCATCCCCAGAATCATCCTAGTTGTCCTCTTCCAAATCCTTTCCAACAATTCAACATCCTTCCATGTGTAGCAGTCCATAATATGGTAAAAATTATATTTAAAAAATTCAGCCATAAAAACAACAATATGATGATCAATCAATATGCCTCTTCCAGTACCTTACAAAGTATTCATTTTGTTCATCTTTCAATGGGATTCTCCAAGTTTAAAATTGTAAGCAAAAAGATTGTGTATTCAAGCAGTGTTTCCATTTCTATTAATATTCTTTTTCTTCTACTTCATAATGGTAAATCTAATTATCACCACACACATATAGCTAAAATTTTATAGAAAAAATATTAAATCAAAAATGCAGCACTTCCAGAAAATTCACATCGACCAACTACTCAAATTCACTAAGAACACACAGATCATGAATCATCTGCTTAATATGTTTGTTTAATTTTTGCTTGTTTATCTGCCACTTTTGGAAGTAAATCTTAAAGTAAATGGCAAACATTTGTCAACAACAAAAAGAAGTTAGTTTCAAACCCTATATATAAAAGGCAATGAGTTCATTTATTCTACTATAATCAATAGTACTTCCAAGATACCAATGACAAATGAAGTTTAATGTCACAGTTAATCGAATTATCAAACTTTAGAATCTTAAGAGTCCAAATTACAGTTCACACGAACTAAAATAAGCAGCAACTTTTATAATTAAGGTAATGTTTAAAGAATTCAACTTTATCAACTTATCATTTCAGGCAAGAATACCATTTTATTTTTTACATATAATTACTATATAACTGTAACAACATCTAGAATCTGTTATATTTTACAAACAACTAACCAAGATTCAATTGCACAAACTTATAAGCAATGTTCACACTAGTCTTTAAAGAATTGCATTCTTTAAATAGGTTTTAAAATTTTTTATTTCCAAATGTAATACATACTTTTATTTACACATTGTATCAAAATGTTTACAAAATAATATTAACATGCAAACAGAAATGCATCACCTACAGTCTCTATTACCTAACACGAAAACATTAAGCACATACTAGTGGTATATGAAATACTGGATATCTCTATAGCTATATGATAAGTTTATACATCGTTAAACATTTAAATGAAAGATTTATTCATTTATCAGTCACCTGATGCAATAATTCCATGTACACTTTTTCAGATGTGTTATTCCAAACAGTTGAGTGCTTTTTTTACATGTTTACGACAGTGTTTGGGCTTTAAGTATTATATTTATAACTATGCAGTTACAACCAACCAATGGAAATGAATAAACATGACTCAGCTTATTTATTAAGCAAACACATACTTTGTCAAAGAAAAAACCTTGTATTTTGATTACTCTTCAAGTAGCCTAAAATTAAAGTCAAACAACACAAAAATTGCATTAATGTTAATTTATTTTCTTAAAATAGAACTTCTAATTATAACTCTTACAAAGACTGAAAACCATTAGGAAATGAATAAGAATAATATTAGGATATCTATTCAGATAATATAGTATTACTGTATTAATAACAGCACAAGTTCACCAAGCTGGATGTAATGTTTTACTTTTTTGATAACAGCACATGTTAACATTTTAAAGTTAGTTGTATAATCACATGATAACCACTATAACCAAATTTTCAGTTTTTTTTTAATGAGAGAGACTTCCAATATTACAATAAGGTACTTTGAATTAATCAATGTTGACCATACAGTCCTAAAGTAACCTAAAAACTAAAAAAAATTTAAACATTTAATATATTCTTTAACACTACCACACGAGCCAGCCAAACATCTTTTAGTACTGAACCTAGAATGGTCAACAGGGGGTCATTACAGAAACTGGTGATTCAGGGTTATTTCAATAAATCTTGATGAATGAAGCTTGGTACAACTTCTAAAGTGAATAAACAAAAAAAAAAAAAAAAAAAAAAAAAAAAAAAATAAT